ATAACCAACTCAATGGAATGTAACAAGAACAACGACAAAATTGCTATTATGAGTCCTGGTGTGGTGCTGCAGGATATTGCGCTGAATTGCAAGGTCAGTTTGAGCTGTAAGGTTGGTGGTTCAAACCCACCAACTGCTTCTCAGAAACCCTACACAAGTTCACTATGAATCAGAACTGACTCAATGGCACTTAGCAACAACAACATTGTTTTTATAAAGTTGCTTATTAATATTAAAATATTTACTAATATTTTTGATTTTTTCAGTAAGGATACAAAGTTCTATAATTCTACCAGTTTATAATTTGAATTTCTTGAGTTTTCTGAATATGTAGGGATGACCTCAGTGTAATAAAGTTTAGCCAAATTCATCAGTTGTAAGGTCAGCCGTTCAATCCCACCAACCGCTCCTTGGAAACTCCATACAGGGTCACTAAGAGTCAAAACTGACTCGCCGGCACATAACAACAGCAGCGACAATAACAAAGGTACCATAAATTTTAAGATATGCCATTATTTTTATAGTACTAGCTAAAAGCTCTGGTAGCATAGTGGTTAGGAATTGGGCTGCTAATCTCATGGTCTGCAGTTTGAAACCACCAGCTGTTCTGCTGGAGAAAGATTAAGTTTTCTGCTCCCGTGAAGATTAAGAGCCTCGGAAATCCTGTACAAGGTCGCTATGAGTTGGAACCGACTCTATGGCACAGAACAACAACAACTAAAAGAAATGTTGTCAATTAAATTATGAATGATGCCAGATGCTAGTTTATGATGACAGAAATTCACTTCAAAAAGTAAATGTGAAGAAAATAAGACTTTATAATCTCTCTTCATTTTTATACGTTGCTAGGTTCCAAAAACCAGGTTGTTAATGTTAAAATCAGTATCACGTAAAAATGGAAGATGACCACATCAGATCCACAAAATGAAGGATAACTCTATCATTACATAATTACCAAATTACAGCATTTACATAACTGCCAAGCTACTGAGAATCATGAGTCATTCAAGCTGACACACGTTATCTGTCATAACCAATATTACTCTCACTTTGCTACTTAGTGTTTGTTATTGTTGTAACGTTACACTATCAGTGTGAATAGGCAAATTGTAGACTTTTTACTATTGTTAAAAATGCAAAATGTCAAATAACGAAATAGTCATTGCATGTGGAGTTGGTGATTCTCATGCTTATAGTGATTAGTTTTCTCTCCTTTTTTTGTATTTCCACTGAAATATTGGATATTTATTTTCATTTATTATTTATTCACATACATTGCGATGGGATTTATCTGCACTGTTGGACTTTTGAAAGAATTGCTTTTTAAATTTCTTTTATTTATGTAATTGATGTTATTTTCTACCTTTAGTGTGCTACCGTTTCCACTTTTATTTTTTATTTCCTTTCATATTTTTAGAATAAGTTGCTCTCTTTTGTTCTAGTTAACATTTGTGTAAATAATAAATGCATTTAAGATACTAGAAATCCCTCTGAGTATAGCTTTTTATCAGTGCTGTGAATAGTTCAAATATACTTGGTTTTTATATACAGTGTCCTTAGTGGGCTTAGGAAACTCATGTATGCAATGCATTGCATTTTTTGAATTGCAATTAGTTAGAAATAAGTAATTTCCAATGAATTATAATGCTGTCATTTTTCAACTTTTTATACCTCCCAAATAATAGCCTTTATCTATATAAGAGAAATTCATTCCAAATAGTGGCATTTCATGTACTAGGTACATAGAAAAACACAACTCCTCAAAAATGTTTTATTTTACAGAGAAAAATAGGAGACAAACTTTATCATACTTACTCTTCTGTTGTTGCTATTGTTGTGAAGTGCCATGGAGTTGGTTCCCACTCATAGTGACCCTGTAAGGATTCCAGAGGAACAGCTGGTGAATTTGAGCCGCCACCGACCTTACAGTTCAATGTGTATCCTATTGCAAGCACCCCACCAGGACGCCAATCATCTATTAGTAAATCAGAATTTCTGTTGGATGTTTAAATATAACTATTAAAGTACAAGGTTGAAAGTGATATTTTTATAATGACATTCATGTCTTTACACTCTTTGGCAGGTCTAAAAATACATAGAGCTCCTAGAAATGTTCATCCCCAGCAAATTGGGCAAACTGACTACCTCACAACATTTTTTGAGTAATAAAATTTGGCAAAAACAAATAAGTAACAAAGGTTTCAAGGGGGAACCATGTCCTTGAAGATAGGAGAATAGATAAGACGGTAGTACCAGCCTTAATAACAACAAACCAAACACGTGGAAGGATAATAAGTATCTTCTAAAAATTTCATAAATAGGAGACAAACTTTATCTTAATTTAAAAATCAAAACACAAATTTTTTACATCTGCTAAAACATTCAGAATATTTTACATAGTTATTATATGATCAGAATTTTTGGTAGATTATTTATTATCATTGGACAATTTTACTCAAATCCACAAAATGAAAAGTCTATCCAGTTATATGACTATAAGGCTTCTGTTTACATTACAGACCTTGTACTTCCAAGTTTTGATATCTTCAACTACATCCACTATATTATAGCTATTATTCATTAAGGCATAAATACTTACAACTGCATCTTTTAATTGAATATAAAAATGTTTTCACATATTTAAATACATCTTATTACATAATACAACTTCAAGTTGCAACTACTTTTAAATTATTAACAGTTATTTCCCTTTCATTTGACAAATGCCTGAATTAAATGTGCAATGTGTTTCATTTTTCATAGTTGTCAACCATTCTATCAAAAGCATATTCATACTAATTTTCTGCATAGATGTGTGAACAATTTTTACAAGTTAAATTTCTATATAAAATGTTATTTCATATTTACAATTTTTGTATAATGTCATAAAAGACACATAAAATTAAGTCAGACATTTGCTAATTAATTCACTAGTAAATAGTTTATTTTCAAGTCTATTCATATTTTGTTTTTTAAAATTTGTTTTAAATATGTATTTAAAATTTTTAAGTTGTTGAAAGTTACATTAATGATTTGGGGAATATAGTTCATGACTATACAAATAAATCTATACATTTTTCCAAAAAATCATTTTTTTCCCTTGGTTGTGAGCAATGCAAGTCTTTTGATTGTGTCCTGGAATGCCTTTTTAACTTGGTTGTTCCTCAGGGTATAAATAAATGGGTTCAAGGTAGGAGAAATAGAAGAAACCAGCAGTGAAACCACTTTATTAACAGTTATTTCTTCTTTTGCTGTAGGATTCATGTAGATAAAAATACAGGTGCCATAGGTGATGGAAACCACAATCATGTGGGATGAACAGGTTGAAAAGGCTTTTTTCCTTTGCTGAGCAGAGGGGAATCTGAATATGGTTCTGATGATACTCCCATATGACAGAACTACACAAGTAAGAGTAATATTTAGGGTCAACACAGCACAGATGATAATTGTCTTTTCCATGAACCATGTATCTGAGCATGAGATTTCCATGATGGGAAATGCATCACAGCCAAAATGGTTAAGTGTGTTAGAGTCACAAAATTCCAGATATAAGCCTAGACTAAGTGGTGGAATGATTACACATAAACCAGACATCCAACAACAGCTAATAAGAATCCTACAGACTCTACTGCTCATGATGGTCACATAATGCAAGGGCTTGCAGATGGCCACGTAGCGGTCATAGGACATGGCAGCCAAGAGGAAAAATTCTGTTACTCCACAGAGGTCAGTAAAAAATACCTGGATGACACAAGCATTATAGGTAATGACCTTGTCACCTGTTGCTATGTTATACAAATATCTAGGAATACAAGCTGAAGTGAATGAGATCTCTAAAAAGGAAAAATTCTTTAAGAAAAAGTACATAGGTGTTTTCAGGTGAGAATCCACAATGGTGAGTGTGATAATGGTCAGATTCCCAGTTATACTCAGCGTGTAGGTGAGAAAGAGAAAGACAAAAATCAGAACCTGCAGCTGAGGGTCATCAGTCAGTCCCAGCAGAATGAATGTTGTAACTGTTCTGTTTCGCATCGCTGACTTCTGACTTCTGTGCAATTTGTATGTGATATTCCGAGAGATTTCCTCATAGATTCCTTTAAATATTCAAAAATTCAACATTATCAGACCTTTCTTCTTCATTATTTTTAATGGCGTTTCCCCTCCCCCCCATTCTCTGCTTAATATTTTCCAATGTGACTAAAATAGATTGCTGTTAAAGTATAATTTTGATTTTGATGCTCAATAATTCTTCCCTATTCACATACTTAATTACAAAATTTCACCATTGTTTCATTTCTTTTCTTGACATTTAGGTGTTTCTTTTCTTTCCTTTCTTTCTCTTTTAGCAGCGCTAATACATTGGTAACACAGTGGTTACGAACCAGACTGCTAATCCTACAGTCAGCAGTTCGAAATTACCAGCTGTTCCGTGGGACAAAGATGAGGTTCTCTGGTCCCGTAAAGATTTACAACCTTGGAAATTCTGTACAGGGTCGTTATGAGTTGGAACTGACTCCACAGCACATAACAATAACAACAACAGTATAACATAACATAATTGATCTTACTTTAACTTAGGATAAGCACTGGACTGCAAACTGCAAGGTCAGAAGTTCAAACCCACAAGACTCCCTCATAAACTCCATTGAGGGTCACTTAAAGGCACTTAACAACAACATGAATACTTAAAGGCACTTAACAACAACAACAACAACACTTAAAGGCACTTAACAACAACATCAACAAACATACAGACTTTAAGGGACCTGGTGGCATAGTAGGTTAAGTGTTGGGTTGCAAGGTGGGCTGTTCAAATCCACCACCTGCTCATAGGGAGAAAGATGAGGCTTTCAGCTCCTGTAAAGATATAGTTTCTGAAACCCTAAGGTCAGTTTTCTCTGAACTATAAGGATGTTGGATTATTGCTGTAGGAAAAGTACAGACTGTAAAACTCAAGGCCAACATTCAAAAGCACCAGCTTGTCTTCAGAAACCCAATAGAGTCCCTATAAGTCAGAACTGACTGATGGCACTCCGCAACAATAGGGTTGTTAGGAGCCCTAGTGGAGCACTGGATAAGTACTGGACTGCTAACTGCAAGGTTGGCAATTCAAACTCACTATCCTCTTCTCAAAAATCCTATGCAGGATCCCTATGGGTTGGAACTGACTTTTAACTAAAACAACATAGAGTTGCTATGAGTCAGAATTAATGTGATGGCAGTGAGTTTCTAGTTGGATATAGATTTAGAGCACAAAGCCCTGGTACTGTAGTGGGTTATGAGTTGGGTTGCTAACCACAAAGTCAGCAGTTCAACTCTACCCTTACTTCTTGGGAGGAAAATGAAGCCTTTTCCTCTAATAAAGGTGTACAGCCTTGGACCCCCAATACAGGGACATGATGAGTAGAAAACTACGGTATGATGCACAACCATTCCAACCACTAGACTTTAAAGCAGAACTTGAAACATGTGTTCCAAAACAAGATTTGTGCTTGTTGCTTTCTTTTTAGGAAAAGTTTGTGTTCTTCATTTATTCTTCTCTGCACAATCTCTTTTACTTTTAATTTTGTGCATACATTGTCTTTACTGACTTTGTGCATTGCATTTGATACTGGTGTTAAGTCATCATATGGCCTTCCTTCCTGATTTTCTTGTCAAAATAATGTTTTATTTCAACTTTTCTACCTTTCCTAATAATAATTAGGTTATTGAATCTAGAAGACAAAACACTTCAGATTTTTTATTTTTGTTAAGTTGTCCCACAAAATATTTTCTCAAGTTTTAAATATTAATTATACTGCAGAGACTCAAATGTTTTCAATATACAATCAGTATCTCAAAATTTTCTTACACCAAAGCTTAAAAACACTTTGACTTTGGGTACCCAGTTACTTTTATTTGGATATTCAAGTTTTATAAGCAGTTTCACTTTGTTCTTTAAGCCACTGTGTTTTCTTACCTAGGTGAGGCAGAGTTGGCTGTGTTTTATTCTCCCAGCTCACAGTTACAAGACAGAGAAGAAGAATGATGAAGGCCATGGTTTACCTGATAGCTATAAACTTCTTGGTAAAGTTGATCTTTCATATAACAATTATCAACTATTTGGAAGAGGTAAATATTTTTTGCAAAATAGATAATACCATCCATCTTTTTTTTCCTAATCTGTCAGGTTGCATGCACATTACTATGAAACTTTATTAAGTCCCTTTACACTTTAAACACTGTTCAGTCTTTAAGATATGCCTCTTTCTTTTTGCTAAGATATTATAATTTTTGTATAATAGTAGTTAATAAATTTAAGGAGCTCTGGTAGCGTAGTGGTTACGAATCGGGCTGCGAACCTTAAGGTCAGTGGTTCGAAACTACCAGCCGCTCCGCGGGAGAAAGA